CTAGCGGCGGCGGAAAGACTTCTTGTGGTGGAAGTGGAAGTACTGAGGTTTCGAGAGCCGGTCTCCTCCATCGTGAGGCTGATGGAAGAGGTTACACCGAAAATGACGTTCACATCCGAATACTTCACAAAATCGGAAGGAAACAATACAGTGAAGAGGGCGAACAACAAGACGATGATCATGTAGTTCCGCTCTCTGGTTCTTGGCGTCCCGGGAGTGCGGGGCAGAAGCGGTTTGGAATCATCAGAATCCATGGTGATTCTGCTGCTGAATCGAGGTGGTGATGCAGAGGGAGAGAAGTGGATGGAGGTGCTGAAATAATGGTTTTGGTGCTGATGATGCTTCGAGTGGAAATCATGAGATGCAAGAGAATGCTTTCAATCACAAGCCTGTATGTGTGTTGCAAACATTGCGCGGTTGCTTGGTGACCTGGTGCCTAGAGTACTACCGTTGACCTTTTCAATGGCTCAATGGTTTCGCGTGCAAAAAGTGAGTGGAGGTGGGAGGGAAGCAAGAAGCCGACCTAAGCCCACTGTACCGGTACGGTACGACTGTGCATGTATGTCATACGGTAGGTACCAGGGTTCGCTAACCGTTTGGTTGGGTACCGGTTACTGGTTACTCAACCAGTAACCAGTTTTGCTTGGGTACCGGTTACTGGTTACTGGTTGAGTAACCAGTTCTGCTAGGGTACCGGTTACCGGTTACTGGTTGAGTAACCAAATCAAACAACCGGTAACCAAATGGCAATTTGAGTAACCGATTCAGTAACCAAAACGGCAATTTGAGTAACCGATTCGGTAACCGGTTCGGTAACCAGTCGACGGGGTACTGGTTACTGGTTACTGGTTGAGTAACCAGTTCTGCTAGGGTACCGGTTACCGGTTACCGGTTGAGTAACCAAATCATTCAACCGGTAACCAAATGGCAAATAACCGGTAACCGAAGAAACCGGTTAGCGAACCCTGGTACTAGGTACCCTCCCGATTCCCGAACTGGCAAATTGCAGTACTTTAATTAAAATATTTTAGAAACTCCATAGTAGTACTTTCCTACGGGTATTTTAAATTTTAAAGCTTTTTAAAAAGATTGTCGGTCATTTTGAGGAAAGAAGGATTTAATAACAGTAGTTGATTATCGTTCTGGAGTTCTGGAGGCTCTTCTTAATAAAATAAAATAGCTGGAGGAGCTGCAGGAGGTGAGGAATATTTTGAGTTGAGCCCCATCTTTCATTGATTGAAAGATTGAAAGAGAGCTGCACAACTGGGGGATGAGCAAACTTGCCCATAGCCCTGCATTGTATTTGATAGTAATGTTTGTAAAATTGTCTGTGCAAAAGCGAATATTTGTTTTTGGATGCAATTTTTCTATTGGATTAGATTGGATTGAATTGGATTGGATTGCATTGAATTCCAGTTTACTATATAAATAACAGTACTATTCTGAATCCAATTCAATCCAATTCAATCTAATCCAATGCAATCTAATCCAATTGAATCTTGTTTCCTGCAAAAATCTATTTTTGCTCCTTTTTCTTACATTCGCCACTCCTGTTGAGTACACTACTGCGCTATAGCAAGATTTGCCCATCCCCCTGAAAGCTTCCAGTATTGAAAGTACATGTACAGAAATGGTTCAGGTCTGTATTTCCCCTCTCCCCGAAATAAATGAGCTAATAAATGGCAAAAGCTTTGTCTCAGCCGTACAGCTGTACCACTAAGAACGTCCACGAATTTTAGAATACATACAAGTGTACATGTTCTAAGTACCAGTGGTGACGTCGGCAATAGGGTGTACTATTACGCACGCTGGAACTTGGGTGTTTACTATAATAGTAAGTGTATTAAAAAAAATACAGGTTCTGTTCCGCTCCGGCGTAGACTTCAAACTACACGTCGTTGTGTAGTCGTGCGAGAGAGAACCGGTGGTACGGTTGCCCCTGAAAATTTCGGCACTTCGAGTACGGCTATTTCCGACTTGCGAGCTTGCGAGGCTTTATCACCCCCGATGCGCGGTACATAGCTTCTGAGTTCACGTAGTACTAGATCTACGCTGTATCTCTAGCTAGAGTAGTAAAGGGTGCAGAGCAAGAAAGCCAAAAGCAGTGCGTCAGTCAGAGTTGGGAGACAGATTGACCGCCTGAAAGTCCAAGTCAAAATTGACTACTAGCTACCTGGTAGCTAGCTAGTAGCGTAGACTACTGTACTGCGAAAATTGAAAATTGCTCAATTGATCAAGGCAATCACGGGACCTGGGAAGCTCGCCAGAGTGCTGGTTGACCAGCTGCATTCATGCTGCGAGCTGGGCGCTGCGCGGAAGTCAGGTTCTCCTCAATAATGGCTGGTTCATCATACTAGTCTAGTATCTTACGATTGTGGCAAATAGTGACTGAACTGAGTTGGTACGTGTTGTTTGTACGATGTAGGTTGTGGTAGGCCCATCACAGCTATGGCCGTGCTCCGAGAGCATAAAGTAGGCAAGTGTGCATCTAAGAGGAACGGTTCGCTTGAGCTCTCTTGGAGTTTTGAAGAGGACTCGACTCGACTCATTCCTTCTTCCAACGCACCAGATGCAGAGCAATGGTGAAAATGTAACCTAGCTAGTCTACAGAATGGCTAATAGAGCCACAGTACAGTGCTGAGACTTTTGTAGCACTAAAAGCTCTATAGCCTTGAGCCCAAACCACTTAGTACTCCAGCTCGTAGCTCTAGCCATAGTGTAGGCAGGGGTAGACAATAGCCCTGTAGGTTCCTACAATGTCATTGCTAGCTTGCCCACCTAGCTTTATGAGTCTGGCTATAATCTGTCGTTGCTTTGCCGCCAGCATTATAGTCAGAACGAAGATATTAGACTAGCCCGTTTTGATTGTCGAGAAACTCGCCAGAGACAGCCACCTACATCATGCATGGATTGATTCACGATCAAACTATGGAATTGAGCTAAAGCAACGACACCTGGGTCCTGTATGCGGCCGGCGGCCACCATTAGATCTACTCATTGATTCAGACTCATTGATTCAGACTTTATCAATTGCAGCAAAAAGTGAGTATACTAAATAATTTACTGGGATTGACAGAGACAAGCCTTCAAGAAGAGAAGCGAAGGATTGTTCTCTTGCATGGAGATATCGCTTTGGGTTGGGTTGAAGTGGTACCGGTACTACCGGTATCAATTATAGTAGCTACCTGTACTGGCTGCCTGTCCGAATAAAAATAGCTCCCAGCGGAAACATAAAGCTCGGTTGCTGCCGGTCTGAACTCTTGCTAGCTACTAGGAGCCATATTGCAGTCATGACATTGTTTTAGAATAGTAGTCAGAGCTCAGTCAGTTTGTTAGTTAGGCTGGCAGGAACAACGGTTCGATGCGGGCGCTGGGTGTATTATCAAGGCGGAGGAACCCCAATCCCGAGTCACACTTTAAGCAGCTAGCTCCGTACCACACACTGGATCCAGACCAGCAGAGTCCAAGTTGGACCCCAGTAGAACATCCCTGTAGCTTGAAGTCATCACTAAAACCTTCAACCATTGTGGTACCAGGTAGTATCGGAGGGTACTAGTACAACATTGCTCTCCTTGGAGGCTTGCAGTTGAACATCCGTTGCGTTCTCTTACCGGTAGCAGCGGAGTCGAGTCACCTTCGATCTCACAGGTTTCACTCTTGATCTTGATCTTGACTTGTTGGGTCCACTGGCAATCAGCCATGCCATGCTCGTCGTCTTTTCATCTCATACTCACGCAAACAAAGCAATCCATAGAAAAAGGTAGAGCTTAAAATCATCATCACAATGAACATCACGGCTTACCCCATCGATCAGAGCGTCAACGATGCAGCTATGGTTCTGCTCGGGCTTAACCACAAGACGTCCTCAGATGCACAAAGGCTCGAGCTAACCAGGGCGACGGCGCGTTCTGAAGCCCCTCTCCTTACGAAGAGGCAGTGCAGCACGACTTACCTCCTTCGTAAGCGTCCGCTTCTTCATGATACTACGTTGGAACAACAGCCGACAAAGAGAATGCGTCCAATGAAGCGTTCTGCCAGGTTTGGGGACGACCCATCCGTTGCACCGTCTGTTCAGCTTCACGTCTTCGAGTCAGTAGACCACGAGAATGCTAATCTTATTTGGTGGACTCGGGACGAGATCCGCCACATTCACAGACGAGAGAGGGCCATGATTGGAGTCTTGTCACAGTGCTGCGGGTTCTATGTGGAACAACTGGCCTGTCTGACGAGGGTGTCATTCGAAGACACAGTTGACTTATCCAAGGAAACCAGCTACGCTTGGGTTGCCGACAGCCCAGGCCGTGGTTTGGAGACGCAGGTCGCTGCCGTCCTCACAGGTAGCACCGACAAGGCAAGGATTGTGACCAGAAAGGTGCTGGAGGCCCACAAGCTGTTGCAGAAGCATCTCAGCGGAGGAGGACAAGCCATTGCTGCACAAGAACAAGCCAGTGACATTCTCAGGGCTCGGTACGAGGACTTATCTCTGCGGAGCAAGAGATGGGCTCAGCTACTGGCAGCAGGAGACGCTCTAGTGGCCAGGCTCGACGACGGAGGCATCAATCTGAGGGGTGGAAGCAGAAAGGCTAGACCCAATCAAGTCGTCAGTCATTCCACTCCCGCTGCTCCAATTGTTTGATATGAAAGCTTTACTAGTAATTAAAGATACCGGTAATGTTTGATAGACGCAAGTGCACAAGCTTGTAGCCAGCTAGCTAGTAGGTATAGAAGATGCTGGGAGCTGCAGCCCTCCTTTTCAGGTTCCTCTGTCCCTCCTCTTACGAAGGAAGGCGCTCTAATCTGTATTTTGAGATTGGGGATAAAATGGTTCTGCTGTGTATCATAATTATTGTTGTGGGCTCACGTGCACCGAGGTTTTCCCCGGGTGGTGATGTCAGATTGGACCAAAAAGACATGGAGCGGGAACAAGGACGTGTCTGTGTTTTTCCTTTTCTCGTACAGAGCACGGACCGCCGTTCGTCATTCGCACGATGAAAGCCCGACAAAGCACGAGCCGCGGGAGATTGAGGAGAGGTTCGAAGAAAAATTTTAGGAGGGGAATGGGAACAACCGTGAACAGCCGATGCCTGAAGTAAGTGTTCTTTTTGAAGCGCTCGAAGTAATCTATCGCTCTCCAAAAAAGGTTGACTCTCCTTGTCCAAAATCCCTTCAGTTCTACAAGAGTGCGAAAGTAGTGCAATAGCTCGTCTAGGTCTGCTCCTTAGAGACAAAGCACCATGGATACTGTTACTGTGGAATCCTCCAACAATGTAGCATTAAATTCCAGTACCCCACCTCTTCTAACGACGAAGAAAGCAGAAGAAATCACCGTACGCATGATCGACAACAACAACAACCAGAGCAATCACCAACTGGCGACGATCCACGACAAAATCCTCATTCTCAAGGTCCCTGCTGGTCCAGAGGAACCTCCCAAGAAGCGACCAGCTAGCGAAGCATCCTCTTCTCTTCCTACCAAAAAGGCCCGCTTTGTGCTGGTAGCTCCCATTGGACCGGCTGGTGCCCAACGAACGGTCCACTTTGAGCTTGAAGCCGACGGAGTCAAGACTCGTGTCCGCGTCTTTAACCGGGTCGAAGCGTCCGAGACTCCCGATTGTTGGTGGTCTCCTTCCGAAATGGGCGAAATCCAGGCTCGAGAGAAATCGGCTGTTTCCGTCATGTCGTTTTGCTGTGAACATTACACCTCCCAAGTCTTGAGCGTCCTCAAGGAAGCGCACAACACCATCAAGGGAATGGATTCGGATTCTACCGTAGCCTCACCCGAGTCTGTGTGGGTCGCAAACAGTCCGGCCAGGGGATTGGAACGAGATATCGTACAAGGATTCAAGCAACGCAAACGAAAAGTCATTCGAAAAGTGTTGGAATCTCAACGTGTGTTACAACAAGGACGGCATTGTGAAACGGGAGAAGCGCCTCCTCTCGAAGTCCAGAGCAATATTTTGAGCACTCAATACCGACGTTGGTCCTATCCAATGACTCGGTTTGCTCAAGTGTTAGCTGAGGGAGATGCTCAAGTGGTGGTCGATAATAACAATGGCGGCGCTGGAAGCACTGATCCTGCGGGCCTTCCTCCCTTGGAAGCATTTTGAGCTTGTACTATTGTTCCCTCTCTGCGGGGCTTATTTGCAGTTGTTTGGGCTGGCGGGCATCATCGTTGCGCGTTCGTTACGTACATATTTCCCTCTGTAAACTAAAATTATACACCGCACGTCTTTCTTTACTTTTCTTATTCATCGCCCGTCATGGCGCTGTATTCGTCGAGCCTGAACGAAAGGCCCCCAATGGACTTTGATCTGACAAGGACTGTTGCCGTAGATCTCGTATCTTTGCAGCCGGAAAATGAAGGGAAAGACAGTTGCCGTCGCAACCTGCTCTACTAGCTAGGGTCCTAACGATTTCTGGGTCAATCTCTGGTTCCCGCCCTTGTACCGGCACCATGGCCCACTGAAGGCCCATCTGGAAAACAGAGCCAGGGCCCACTCCTGGACGAAACCCTGCACCTACTCGAAGGCCAACAGCAGGAACCACTCCTGGACCAGCATCACAAGGACGACCATTGCCCGACCTCACTATACTATTAATACCACAAGGCTAGCACATGTGCCAAACCTGGGCCAATCACAAAGACCCAATACAGGAGCCATCCTGACAGCATCCTGGACTCGTGCCTGGGCCTACACGAGGTCCAACAGAAGGACCAAGCACAGCACGTCCATTGCCACGCCCGCCCCTCCTCTCGCCCCCCGAATACCAAATATAGCCTGTGCACATAAGGGCTGTTAGCCTGGTAGGTACCGTATGGATACAAAGATGATGCCATTGCGGCCGTTTGAGGCATAGACTTTGCCTCGAAACCAGGTGACTAGCTAGCCACATCCTCATCGCGAGCGAGCTTCTATGGGGCGGGTAGGTGGCATCTGCGCACCAGCCAAAATGATCTCTCGAGGAAAATGAATCAGCGCCAAAGTGGCGCGAGTGAGGTCTTAGCCAATTGATGGATCTGTTACAAGGAGTCTTTTATTTTAAAAGAATCAGATAATATCTGCTCTACACCAATTTGACCCGTGGGGCGGAAGGCGGAAGAAAAGGAGAAGAGGTGAACTTCTTGCTTCCAACCAACAGCATGCGGAGGTGCGACACACCCAGCACCATGCTCCTATTAATAATTGCAACGACAGTAAAACAAACTTTTTCCTTTGTACAGTTTTCGATTAAAATTTAGCACTAGCTATGGTTGCCAGCAGGGTCCAAACTACACATTGACGCCTCCATTCCATCCTTCTGTTGTTTTTCCATTCTCGAAGTATTTACTTGAAGAGCTTAAAAGCGGCCTTCTTGGCAGGTGCAGCCTTCTTGGCGACCTTCTTGGGAGCAGCCTTCTTGGGGGCAGCAGCCTTGGGTTCTTCGACGAACATGGTCTCAGATTCGAACTCCCAAGAGGGCTTTCCTCCTCGAAGGTAAGCGTTCTCAATGAACAAGCTGGTGGATGGGCGAGCGGCAGGCATGACAGGTGCGAAAGCCTGAGAGAAAGTGGCCACAAGGGCAAGAACAAGGATGGAAAGGATGGTGCTGTTCATCTTGGATATTGTTGTTTTGTTGGTTTGTTGGTTTTTTGCTTTTGGTTGTTGCGAGAACGAAATTGTGAGTACTTGTTGGAGTGCTGATTGCAAACAAACAATTGCAAAGTAGCTAAGCATGGTGCTACGTACCCAACAGCTCACGCTCAGCAGTCAGTGCTGCTTGTCGTTCGTATGTATGTATGTCGTGAGCTTTCTTCCTTGCTACTGACTCAATGATCCATCTTTCTGACATGGCTTGTTCTGCTGGTGCGTGTCATTGATTGATCACTCGTTCTTACTCGTAGTATTCGCACTCGAATCTCCTCTACGACCTGGATGAGTACCCAGTTGTACCACTGCAATTCGTCAAACTTCCGGCCACCACCATCAGCCATCATCGGTGGCTGCCTCCTCATCAAGTACCGGTACTGCTGGTATGGTGAGTCCTCTGGCTGCTGCATACGCAAGTGAGAACCCCAAAATACGACGTTTGTCTCAGTTTGTTGGCTCCGCAGAATCGAAAAGTGCCGTGTGTCATTGCCGCAGAAGGAAGCTTGATCGATGAGAGCCATCAGCAGAGCAGTGATCATCGGAAAAGCGATGACAAACGTTTGCTCCTCTCTTTTCTTTCTGTGGCCCAGCCCTCTTGGTCTGAGTAAGCGACTCCCGCGGTGCTGCATGCGTCATTGTTTGGGTCAAATGGGTCAGCCGAGTCCCTTGTCAAAGAGTCACGCCACACTTTTGAGACTCGATTCGATTCGATTCGATTTGACTGAAGATTCGAGCCCGTCTGCCGTCGAATAGAAAATTCGGTTTTGTGCACACCAAGTACGACAGGTGTCAACTTGAAGGACCAAGGACAAGCGACCAGAGACCATGTTGCCCAGCTCCAGAACCAAAAAGACACAACAACAACCATCATGATTGTATGGCCCACTTCAGGAGACTGGAGCCACTTTGATCTGAGTCGAAGACGGCGATGGCACGAGTCTTCTTCCTCTCCTCCTGGCTCGGATGTGTCGTCCGAATCATCACCGCTCGATCATTCGCCGTCGAATGCCTCCTCTATTATCAATAATAATTACTCCACGTTCTCATCATCATTACCGGAACAACGACAGGTCGCCTCCAAAGAATCTGACTTCTACAATCATCCCGCGTATCATCATCATGATTGGTGGTGGCGGTGGTTGCTATCCAGACAGTCGCCATCCAGTCGGAAGAAGAGCCTCTCCTTACTGGCAATTGGAGTGTCGGAACAACCACCACCACGGCCGAGTCTTCGACCGTATCCGCATCATCCATACTACTACTACCACGTGTCTCCCTTGGGTTGCTCTTGGAGAGTACTGTACGTGACACTGCTCTTTACGGGTCTGCTGGCATTTTACTTTCAGTATCATCATCATCAAGATGACGGGACGTTTACGACTGGCGACCGTCGTCACTACTACACCAAGGCTACAGCGGAATGGGACCACAACATTTATTCCCCCGTCATGGCAACTTCCTCCTCCAACTCACCGCATGCTCACTTTTTGTTGGCACAACTTTCGGTAGATGGTTTGACCGACATTTCCAGTCGACCCAACCGCGCGTACGCCAGAACCAAAGGCATGGATTACGTCCAGTACGCCCAAGGACGACACATTGACAAGGCGTGTTTTGACAAGATTGCGCTCTTGAACATGATCATGGACAAACAGCAACAACAAGACCATGACAACAATCATCATCATCATCCACCGGGAATTCTTTCCCCCTTGTTAACATCACTCCCCACCCGGGTCGAATACGACGCCGTCGCACTCTTGCCTCCCGATGCCATTGTCACCAATCTCGACAGCAGTATCTTTGACGCACTGCCACAAGACAAGTTGGTTGCCATTGCGGGGTGGACGAATCATAATACTGACAATCATGACGTAGAAATCACGAGCCAAACCGGTATTGTCTTTTTCAATCTACGACACCCATACGCCCATACCGTGGCCAAACGATGGTGGGATTTGGTGGTGGAGCCCTTTGGAATGTCCTGTGGTGCCGGAAACGACCTGGCACTCTTGGTCGATGCCATTGCGTCCGTCACAACAACAGCCACCGACGCAGAGGCTATTATGGAACCCTTGAAGGAACGACGCAATGGTTTTGTCAGTATACCAGTAGTAGGAGATCGTCCATCGCAGGAAGACATGATGAGAGGAATCGTTTTGCCGACGCCGGGAAATCGCGTCGATGGATTGTTAAAGGAAAGGGCAAATGTACAAGTCCAACTGCAAACCACGGCCGATTCGGTCTGCTATCGTTTTTATCCGAAATGTGATGTATTATAGTCATATCATTATAGCAATAATGTAGCTATGTCATTCTCTAGATAGATTATTTGCTCGCAAGAGTCTCCCGTGCGTATAAATTGCTACGAGGCGCTTCTGTGCTCTCACCAAACGCTACCGGTAGTAACTTGCCCCTAACCTTTCTCTTACTATTTGGGCCCTTGCTCGTCCTGCATTGGAAAAAATATTACCTCCTGCATGTTCTTGCGGGAACTCAAGATCCTTCATCTTGATCACTTCCATTGTCAAGAAACGTGGCGTTGCCACTGCGTTGAGAATGGCTTGTCTCTGTATCTATCTTGACGCGCACAATGTTCTTGCCCACAAACTAGTAGAAGAAAGGTTGCAATGTTCAATGGACGCGGAAATGCAGGCTATCTATACAGCAAATAACAAACAGGGCAGAATTGATAACACTAGCTAGACACGAAAGAAAACAAAGGGAAAAGAGCTCATCCATCAAGTTCCTGTCAAAGAAAAGGAATTTGTACTGCAGTGTCGTACAGAAGTGCCGGTACCGGTGCAGTAAACCAGATGACAAAGACTACCTCTGCGTTCTTTGCCGCTTCATAGTAGGAAGAATGGGAATATCATGTCCATGCAGGTGCTGGGATGAATCCACAAGGCATCTCTAGCTAGCGATAAATGAGATGGCCCTGTACTTGGACGATCTCCTTCTATGTGAACCTCTTGAGTCAGCCATGTTTTTGCATTCAACAGTGACACCATCCCTGACAACCAACTAACTATTGTGGTTTCCACAAAGGGTCCATGGGACGCATACGCAAGCACACACACATTTTGGAACTAACTGTAAAGTGCTGGGCTTTCAAGAGCTACTTGACCTTTAGCCGTGAGGACGCCCCACCTTTTTCTGATTTGAATGCTCAAAACACCCAGTGATGAACGACGATCGCTGGATGCAGGTTGCCTGTACGCAGATGAAGCCGCAGATTTCTACAAATAGTATTAGAGTCTCTAGACTAGGAAAGAGAGAGCGATGCTGGCGCCGCTAGGCAAGTAGAGAGGAAATCATGGAATGAATCGGCAGCATCCTGAGTATTTTGGAACAGATGAGCTTCGGAGCAAGGGTCAGTGATACCAGTACCTTTGGCTTCCTTCCTAATCCCCTTTCCATCTAACGGCACCAAAGGCCAGGTTCTCTGTGTCTGATAGTTGGTCTGATCTCAGGACTGCTGAGAAATGAGACATGATGATTTCTTGGAGCTTGAAAGCCTCGTCATCTTCAGCTGCTATTACTTTATTATTATTTTGCACCGCAACGGGAGAAATAGAGGGACAGGTCAACTTCAGGAGCTCTTCAAGCGATCTGGTATCTTTGGCGCTGTTTGTGAGCTGCCGAAATCTCATGATTATGGATTATTGAAGTTAGCTTGGGACTTCCCCTCCCGAAGACATGCAGAATTAATTCAAGTTCAACTTGAGGAAAAAGCCACGTCAGACTTACGCTGATGCTCCCAGTGGTCAGCTAAAAAAGCTAATAAAAGTCAACAACCAGCTTGCTGTCAAAAAAGCAGATGGCCCAAACAACGCCCAACTCGCATAAAGTGGATGAGGCTTTTTGGAGTTCTGAGCTTTGGCGGAGTACGTGGGTATGCTATGGAGCAGCTGCAGTGAAGCAGCCTGGAAGTAGATCTCTAGTAGGCGATCTCCTCTTGAGCAAGCAAGAAGTCGAGGACCTCAGTAAGAGGAGATTAAATCACTAGCTAGCCAATCACTCGAAACCTTTATTGTAATTCGCAAATTTGGTACCTGGCTGGCTGATTGAGCTCTGATTGTTTCAGCATTGCTACCGTAGCGCCCAGTCCAACACATAGCAATAGAAAGGCCTTTCGTACCACCTCGCCGAGGAGGAAACAGCCACCTTGCTATCTTTCCCCCCGCCTCAGTCTCTTGCTTCCAATACTAGTACTCTTCCAATGCAAGCTGGCCAGGAGCTCTGAGAGGTGTCGGACTCCTAGCTAGTAGGACAGTTTCCAGTTTCAAGCTTGCAGTTGAACAAGATTAACCTATTGCTCAAGGGTACGTATAGCCCCAGCAGAGTTACCAGCTTGTGAAGTTGCAGCGGGTTTGCAACGTCAGACAGTGCCAAGCTTTTCCCTGCTTATTTCTTGGCAATCTGGCAATCTGGGTACGACTGTACTACCGGTAGTAGTAGCTTGTTCAGCCCAGTGGGGCAGTGGGGTACTGGCTCGGAGTAACCCAGAAGTAAAAGACATATACTCTTTGCCCGTCAATGTCTTGTATCATAAATCTTTCTAGTGATCCCTTAATGACGGGTATTGCGTCAGAGGCAGATGACAGCTGCGAACCGAACAGCAGCCTTCGGGCGTTGGTTGCAGCCAACAGTTTTCGGACCCCCCAGTTCTTTTCTTGTGCTGTCCGAGCTTTGTTGGGTGGTTGTTGGTTGTATTGAGTTTAGCAGGAGACCTCACCAGCAGCTGCTTAGCCTCCGACATCATCATTATTTCCTTGAAGTTCAAGCCAAAGGCACTTATCGATGTTGGAGTCTCCTAGCGTCATCGAGATTACCAACTCAGGAAAAGAAGTAACCGCCGTAGTGTTGGGTTGCGTGGTGGCTGAAACACCTGTGACAAGAAGGTGCAACCACAACCGCAACAGACAGCTGTAGCCGCACCAAATATATGGGCAAGAAAAGGCAAGACCAAGCTTGTGAGGCAGTTCGGCACACAAAGACATCGTGTTCAATGGCAAGCAGCAGCAACATCTTCATCTGAAGGGTATCTGTGTTTCATGGTCAAGCTGCTGTCGACCAAGGATTCAAATTGTGATAGATGAAAAGAGGAGACGACGAGGAAAGGGAAAAAGACGCCAAGGGAAACCCAACAGAGAGCGGGATACCCGAGGCTTTCGAAGGTCCCAGGGCCAAAAGGCCGAGGGCAGGTACTGCTTCCCAGCCCGCAACTGTGGATACGGGGGCCGAGAGAGCGTTCAGCGGAACGGGTTCACCAATGGGTGGCCCAGGCACCATGACCCGAGGTGGGGGACGAGTACGGTTGCCAGACAAGCTGCTCAGGTATCTGAACGATGAGCCCGTGCCCAACGTGATATGGTGGATGCCCGATGGGAATGGCTTTGCCTACAACGTGGAGACTGTGCAAGCAGAGTTTCTGGACAGGTACTTCAAGGGTACCAAGCTATCTTCGTTTGTCAGAAGTCTAAACCGATGGTAAGTTATTGTATGTTACGATTGCTACGGGTGGTCTGATGCGTTGCCCAAGAGCAGAGATTCTTACCAGGCTTATTATTTGCTTTCCTGCATCAGGGGCTTCAAACGAGTCTTCTACGCGGCGCTTCCGGAAAGCGTCATTGCTTTCTATCACCCCAAGTTCAAGAGGAGCCATCCTGAGCGAGTCAAAGAGATAAGCATGACACCTCTCCCCAAGTCGCAAGGGGATGACGAAGAACCTATCCAGCTGGAAGCGCAAGAGGCAAAGGAAGCAGCACTTGCGGCCCCGGAGCCAGCACCTGCGGCCCCGGAGCAACTTCCACAAGCTCCTGTAGCACAGCCACCACAACCGCTGGCACTAACGCTGGCTCCGAGTGGCCAACGACCTGACCACCAGCCAGGAAACCCAGTTATTCAAATTCCTCAACAGCAGCATCCGGTACTAGTAGGCGCAGAGAGAGCGTTGACTCGCGTACCCCAGCAGCAACAGCCTCAACCTGCCGCTTTAGATGGGAACACCTTGGTTCAAATAACTCAATTGGTACAGCAGGCTGCGGCTGGGGGGCTGACCCCAGAAGCCATAGCTGCGCTCACACAAAACCCACTTTTTGCTATAATGCAACAGCCACAACGGCAGCTGCAACCACTTCAGGTCCATATCACACCAGTGCCGATACCCAGCATTCAGCAGCAACCGACTGCTTCCACGGTCCCTGCTCAACCCCCCCAAGCTCAGCTCCTTTTCCCCGCCATACAGCAGCAAATGCAAGCATCTCGACAGGAATCTCAGGGAACGTCCCAGGCCCTTCAGTTTCCGCCACACGCTCAGGTTTTGCAACAAGGTTTGTCGCAAACCCAGGTCCTGCAAGTCCAAGCATTGTTACAGCAGCAGCAAGCTCAGGCTCAGCAACAGCAAGCTCAGCAGCAGCAAGCTCAGGCTCAGCATCAAGCTCAGGCGCAGCAGCAGCAGATTCAGGTACTCCAGCAACAACCGCAGATCCTACAACTGCCGTTTGTTCCACAGGCCCAACAGGAAACAGCTCAGGCTCTGCAGAATGCTCAACAGCAAGCACGCCATGCATTTCATCAAACCACGCAGGCTCCACCACAGAATCAACAGCAAACAGCTCAGGTTTCGACGCAAACTCAGCAGCATGCTGTCGCCCAGGTTCTCCCGATACCTCAGGCCCATGCCCATTTGCAGGCTATACAAGCCCATCAGCAACAGCTTTCTCAAAACCTTCCAATTCAACAGGCGCAGCTACCTCACGCGACACTTGTTCATCAACCACAACAAATGCAGATCCCACAACTGAGCTTAGCCCACGCTGGCAACGTGGGTGGGCAGCAGGGCATGGTTGATGCGGGAAGCAACCTCCAGGCAGCCATCCAGCACTTAGCTCAGCAAGGCCTCGTTAATGCGCTTCAGCAGCAGCAGCAACTGCAACCTGGGTCTACCGGAGAAAGCGCTGGGCAAGTAGAACAGGGGCAAGAGGACAAACAAGATACTGACTAGCCCACGTCCTGCACAAAATCAACTCAACGATGAGGGCAACTTTCGAAAAATCAATGTGACAAAATTTGGCTATTCCTTCCACCTGTACAAACTCCTTGGGGGATATATACATAGCACTCGAACGGCGCCATGCCATCCATTCTGTACATACCACAACATGGATTCATGCACAAAAGCATTTTGACGCGGCGCCTGTTCTATAACTTCCATGCACAAAAAGCGGAAATCTCTGTCTAAAAATAAAACCAGATAACATCCCTCTGTATCGTTAGAGCAGCCATCCAGGCCGTACCGTAGGACCACCACCTTCGTCAAAGCGGAGTACATGGGTACATGGCCTTCCGACGGTTTTGCCAATTCTCCGTTATCCTCCTTTTAAATTTTACAAGTCTCCCTCTTCATTTCAAGGTCTTTCATAGTTTTGAAACTCTTCTTTATTTCTTCGACTCGACTATCATAACGCCAAATGGATACGCAATACGACTCCCCTCTATTTCTTCAAAGCTCCTTTAAATCTCGCCTTTTAAACAATCCCCGCCATGACGAGCCCGATAATTCCCCCCGTCAAATCTCAAATCCTATCTCCGGCTTCAAAATTCTCGCTGTACAAAATCGCAATTTTTTTAAATCGTCGAACGGAGCACAAGACAAATGTCACTCCAAAAGCAAATAATAATCTAGCTAACATGTAGTATGTATTCTTCCTTACTGTATTACCTATTCAAACTAAAAGAAACTGTCCCGTGAGGTGGGCAGCATGGAAACCGGTTCCACAGACGGAGGAAGCGGGCCTTCTTGTGGAGACAGATCCGACTTTGGAGAAGTTGCTGTCATTTCCATGGCCGGGGTTGGCTCAGGAAGATGACCACGTCGACCCGTTGCAAGGATGATCACGAGCCCTACAAGGACGGGAACCAAGAAACCTGCCGCGACTACTCCATAGTTGACTGAATATTCATTTTCTGCGCCTCCGTGCGTCTGGGGCGGCGGTGCGTTTGTGCTGCTGACCGATGTAGCGCTGCTGCCAGCTCCACTAGTGCTTCCGCTCGAGCTGCTACTTCCACTGCTACCTGTGTTTGGCGCTGGTGCTGGAGCTGAAGTAGTTGTTCCGCCACTGCTCCCAAGGGGGTCTTCTTGAACATAATTTGGAGGAGGGATAATGGCTCGGTAGCTTCCGTCATCACGATGAAGCCGAAGGACAAAAATGTCACGCCATCTGTCTCCAGACACTTTTTCCATGGCCAATGGCCCATTGGTAGTACCATAGACAATTGCATTCCCATGACGATCCAAAACCAGTGACCCCTTGGCGCTCCCCGTTTCTCCGATAGCAGCTGCTTGTTTTCCTTCTGCGAGCATTGGATTGTTGACATTCTTGGCTAGTCGATCTTGCTGTGACGTTCCGATCTGATGGAACCAATTGATCTTACCATCCCCTGCCCGCAATTGCGCTACCCAAATATCAGTTTCACCATGTCCATCGGTGACAATCTTCCTTCCATCCGCCATTTCTACAGTCATGTGTCCATGGACTTCGCCCGCAACATACAACAGATCTTTGGATTCCGCCCGAATTGTTGTTCCATGGGATGGCACATCCACCAATACTTGACAAGAAAGCCCGTGAACTTGCATGCCTGGGATTTGTTTCTTCCAATTCAAGTTCATTGTTTCCAAGTCCAACTGGATAATAAAGGCACCCCCATTTTCATCACCATCAAGCCTTCCCTGAGTAGTACCAACAACATATGCCACTTTGTGGATGTACGGTTCATCATGAGTCCACAAGACTGGATCCACCTTGGCAGCGCAAATGGATTGGATAAAATCGTTGCGTCGTGGCTGTGTCGCCACTTTGAAGCTCCATGTATTGTGCACGGGTCTACCGTCAGAACTACCACTATCGGGAGGACTCATAACTTGTCCATTTTCCGCTCTGACTTTTGCCACAAAACCATCCCAGTCACCAATATGAGCGGCCCGTCCATCCAAAAAGGGGTGACTGCTCAACGTATGATTGGCATCGCCACCATGATCGACCGCTTCTCGTGTTCCAGGTGCAGATCCTGCAATGAGCAGATATTGATCTCCTTCATTTTCCGTTTCAATTGCTTCCAAACCACTAATCAAGACACCATCGTGAATGTACTCGTGTCGGTGCAAATTCATTTCTTCTTCCTTGTATTCCTGTTCTTCCTCTTCCATGTGATTGATTTCTTCTTCAATTTGTGATTGTTCATTTTGCAAGTCGTGCAATTGTTGTGGCGACAAGCCTCCATCGGCATGGAACATTCCCGAGGTGACATGAGGGACTCCATCATTGCGCGCTTCCACAATCGACGTTCGATAAGTTCGTGACCATTGTTCGGAAAATGGATTCCCATTCTCGTCCGGCGTTGTCGTCGTACTATATTTGGAAACTCCCAAACTGAGTTGAAACGACGATTGCGCCTGATTATTGGGTCGTGACACTACCAACACACGATGAATTGTGGCGACATAGACATTCTGCCGGTCGCTGGTCATGGCGGCTGGAATGATGAGATCGTTGTTGACCAACGTGAGTGGAAAATCCCCTCCTGGATTGACAGGTTTTTCCAGCACTTTGTATTGTTGGCTGGTGCTCACATTCGTGGCTCCACTCGCGTCGTCAAAGAAATTCAAATGGAGTTGCATCAAAAAGGGGTGCACCGCCACGGCTTGTTTGTCGTCGTTTTTCCGGACCGCCAATGTTCCCGCACTATAGTATTGATCGTTGAATTCTTGTCCATCGTCTCCCCAAATGGCCGTGACAAACTCACACCGATCCAAATCGTTGGTGGTCGTCACACGGTATCGCGCAGTGAATTTCCAATTGGGCCGCGTATCCGACGGCAACGCATTCCCATTGGCGGCGGCGGCTTCCGATATTTCCTCGGCCAACGAGGGCAACTGGACCGTCGCTACAAAACAATCCACCGAACTGGCATTGTCGTCTTGAAAGAATTGAGTGTCGTGTGTCGTTCCCACCAAAATGACAGAATCGCGCTTGATATCGTAAATCATCCCACCGGCGTCCGAGTGGCCTGTGGCGGGGCCGCTTTGAACACCCCATACATTGGGGTCGTCCGTATGGGCCGGTAGAATTCGTTGTAACAGTTTTCGAAGCGACGACGAGGAAGAAGATGCATCATCACCACCGATTGTCGCGGTCACTGCAAACAAGCCTGCGACGCATGCGACGACTGCCACCAGAGCCAAAGATCGCATCATGCAATAGATTATTTGTCTGTTTCCCAGGGGTATCTTTCTTTCTTTCTCACTCCAAAACGATTTGCTATTCTAGCTTTCAACCTTTCCAGATCCAGCAGTTCGTAACCTCCAGATTTGTCTTTGCTAGCTAGTAGACTATACCGTAGTAGCCAAGCAGCTCAGGCTTGGAAGGAATAAATAACCTTTGACTGATTATTGCCTATCTTATTTCTCTTGGTTTGTGCTTTTCTTTGAACATGGCCAAAATACAAAGTCTGACGATGGACTCGACTCGACTCGACTGCCCTCATCCATGACCCATGTTACATCGTACTGGTACCAGTTCGCCTGGTTGAGTGCACGAACAATGACTGAGGAGATTTAAGCAAATACTGGTACTGCAGTTTTTTAAGGAGTTTTAAAATGAAGTCGCCGAATTTGTTGCAATCTTCATCCACGCTTTGTATCTTTGCTTGGGTCCTGCCTGAGCCTCAAATCCCCTCATCTGCACTGGAGCGCCTGAAAACGGGACTCGCGAGCACCTCTTCCGCGAATCCGCGACTCGCGCGCGGCCGCGGCGCGAATCCGCGAGCGCGGCCGCGAATAACCGCGAAAATCCGCGAGATTTAAGATGCCACTTTTAAAAGATATAGAGGAGTTGGTTCTTAAATCTCGCGGATTCTCGCGGTTATTCGCGGTTATTCGCGGATCGGCGGATCGTTTCGTGGATTGCGGATTCGTGGAAAACCGTTAAATCCGCGGATCGTGCCACGATTCGCGGATTATCAGCCGCTCCAGGAAAACAAATTCCTAGCAAACAGATTGGCCATCTTTGCCTATGATTGCTTGCTTGTGCATGTCAAACTAGCTACAGCAGAGGTGGTACTGGTACTCTATAACTTGACCAGTGTGCACGAGAGGACTGGACTCGTCTCACCAGGTCCAAGCGAGAACAGAACTGCAACATTGTCGATATGGCTGGCTGAATGCAGAAATAATAGTAATGTGGAGCCAAGATTATCTTGCAAGGTAACGTCTTGCCTACAGCTTCTTTTAACTGGCGAAGTCGTTGTGTTTTCCAGGTCTTGCCCTGTAGATATGGCAACTGGTCCGGTCGCAATTCAATTCTCCTTTGGCACCGTCGCCACATGTGAATGAATAGCTAGCAGGGAGCAACAAGAAAGAGGAGTTGCCTGCAGTAGTTGCCAAGTCCAGCTAGCTAGTAGTGGTGATGGAAAAATCGCTCGTTCACTTCTTGGCCACCTGACCTAGTAGTAGTAAGAACCAAGATATCACCTACTAGCTAGATGGGCTTATATGATAATTGACATGCGAAATTGCTCTTTTGGCAACCACGAAAGAAGCCAATGCATGGCTGGTAGAGTTGGAGAAGCAAGAGGGTGACCTTCACTGTTGGCCTGGCTGCGCCCTGACGAGCTCTTCTTTGCATGGGCAGTACCTTGACGAGTTTTCATGTAGCTTGCCTAAGCAGCCGCCTGAAATTTCGTCTGGACCCCAGTGGAAACCCTTATGCTTGCTTGAGAAGCAAGCGCAAATTTCTTTGAATGGTTTCCTGTTGTTCTAGAGGGAAGGATTGGCCTCTCACGTTCCAATAGGGATGTACGGGCGATAGCAACCAAACAGCGTGAGTCATATCATGTCTGTTGCCACCCGTGAGTCGAGTCCAGCCGGTCTACGCAGATCCACTTGCTTGACATCGGCACATCGCCCGCTAAGAAGGAAGGAACAGGAATGAAAAATTTTGCAAAATTTCAATCCCACGCAGTTTTGGAGGTGCGGATTTGCGCGCTGTGCACTGTGCAGATTCCAAGGTGTACGAAACAATTAAAGGACCCGCTTGGAACGAATTCATTTGCTTAGAGGACTATGCCAGGGCTCAATTGTGAAAAGAGGATGTGGTTGTCAAATGAACTTGTAGGAACTTCCTCACTTCGCAAACAGTTCAGTCGGCCGCCCTTTTCTCGCTTCGCCGAGCCTTGTACGGTAGCCTTGTCGTGCAGCAGCTACCGGTACCATATGCAGCTCGGAGAAGCCCTTCAAGTTTGATACGATACCTACCCGATCTATCAAACATTTCTTCGCCAAACCAACAACTTCATAAAATCGATCAGTCTGTGGAGACCAGTCCACCCCAAGCTCTATCCATCATTATCATCACCATCAATTGAGTTATCATCATGAGCATTCGAGTTCCAGGTCAAATTGTTGTGCGCAGAGACAGCGCCTATTGGCGAGAAGATGGAGAATCGGTCATTACGGTTTTCGATGACGACTTCAGCATCTTCAGTGCCGATGTCGACGATTCTCGCTGGGAGCCCAACGAGAATGTTGTTTCGGATTCTATCGTCGATGACAACAGTCCCAAGTTTCCTCAACGACGACAAAGCGTGGTATTGGCGGCAGCACCTATCATGGATCTTCCCAGACTGCCACGCCGACGACTGACCATCAAGTACACCTCTTCCGGCAGCAGCACCGTTGTGGAGGAAGAAAGCGCCAAGAAGAATGCATTGCCACCCATGGCACGAAGAACTCTTCCACTCCGCGCCCGAGGGCTAGCTCCTCCCAAGTTTCCCAGCCGCAAACGCAGCATGGACAGCTCCCCTCCTCCTTCTCCCAGTCAAGCTGCTTGCGGCAGACAGTACAACCGCAAATGCATACCGTCTGCAACGACGACACCCCCCAAACAAAACCAGCAGCTCAACACCAAGTCCGCCATGGCCGCCTGACTCTTTGGCCGCCAATCCAAAAAGGGGATGGATCACCGATCAATCAATTCAATCGTTTATAATGTAAATTACAATACAATAAACCTACAGAAGAATCATTAACCGACTAGACTACGTGCTACAATGCCTTCAGATCAATAGCAGTAGTGATGTTCTACGTCTACCGCAGTCATACAGAGTAGCAACCAACCCCAGCCACACCGAAGTTAAGGGTATATGCACCGCCATCTGACATGTGGTACTACAAGCTAGCCAGCCATCGGTAGCTGTAGTACCTGGTGTCCGAGCAGAGCTCGAGTGGATCTGTCAAGGAATTCTTGAAAGTGCATCTCGTACACCACACCAACGACAGCTCTGGAACCAGCCTGGCTCTCTTGGGAACCTATGTGGATGGACTCATGGTGGCTCGTTATGGCAGGGCCGTCATTGAGGACCCTACTGAGTTTGGCAATGGGTGGCAGGTGAGGGAAAGCTTTTCCACAATGTGGATAAGGATCGATACACCCCAGTACCCTGATCGCTCACTAGCTACCCTGATCACTCACTACTACACGATGCCATCGCTCGATGAAGCCATGAAGCGCCGCCTCGGAGATGGATCCATTTGCCGGGAGGCTGCCATCAAGGCCTGTGTCCATGCCTCATCTTGGGACTTGGAAGGCCACGGGAGACAAGGATATGGCTGGTGCTTTCTAGTAGGATGGCCAATCCAGTCTGCCTTCTCTTGCATGCTATCTATAAGTTAAGAAGCCAAGCCTGCTGCTTTTTAAGGTCATGAGCGCCGGCTGTCTCACTAGCAAAAACCAAGGTTAAACAAATAGAGAAAGGGGGGTTTAGAGTAAGGAAATTATCTACGGAAGCCAGCCGGGGCCAGGCTTAAGCAAAGAACAGTCGAAATTCAGGACTAGACTAGCTAGAGGTTCTGTGGGATCAGGGGTGAGAAATTGAGGACCATTAGGGGGGCCAAAGGGTTTGACTTTGCAAATTGTTTGTGCCTATCTACTAAAAGACTCTGAAATGTCTTTTAAAACTATTCCAATCGGCTAGCTAAGGTACCGGTAGGCCCTCTTGTGCTGAGGAGCAAGTATAGGAGCTTGTACTGGATTTCTCCCACCAAGCAACCTGAGGCTTTCTTTTATCAAGTTATGTGTTTTAAAAGCTGACATGACATCCCTATATGAAAAAGACTGGCCAGACAGATTCATGTTGTCAGTTGGAGTCATCACTGGTTGGAATATAAACACCATCAGGTGGTCCTGGACGAGATTCACCGTGATTATTCTCCATTTGTTCTACCTTCCGCTGTGCTCCCCATTCCTTGTAGTACCTAACTGCCTCCTGCATGCGGTAAGAAGCCCCCTCCTGATCCTTCATCTTAGAAAGAAGAAAGTCAGCACATCGCTCACTTCCCAGAGCAGCATCCATTATGAAGCCAGCACGAGATGCCATGGCAATCCCTTTTTGAAAAAGGGATTCTCCCTTGCCATAACGACCAGCAAAAACCTCATTTTCAGCATTTAAAAGGCAGTCATAATGGCTGACGTTGGGATTTCCCTTCTTGGCCCAGGTTTTGATGAGGGACCACTGTTTTCTTGCAAGGGAACCATACTTTCGCTTCCTGGTTTTGTGAGCCATGGCAAACAAAGTGACGCCCCTGTAGAAGGCATCACCCATGTGCCAAGAGAACCCCAAAGCATTTTTGGCAAATTTATCTCCTCGTTCAATCGACAGTTGTGCTCCTTCTGCATGATAACCCATAATTGCACACAGGCGACTTTGGTGCATTTCAAGACTCTGATGTTGCAGCACAGTGTTGAGTTGATCATACAGGTAGAACGTTTTTGCGTCTCTGCCCATATCGGAATCAGATTGCCCGCTCAATTCTTGTATCACTGCATGGAGTAGTGCGATGTACTTGAAGACATGAATTTGCCCAAACTCTTGCTGTTGCTTGATATATATCTTCGCATCAGCATCCAAGGACAAGAGGTTCTTCCCCTGCAGGAATCCAATAGCAAGGTACTGGGCAATACACCAACATGCACTCTCAACATCACCAACAAGAAGTCCAGTATTGTAGCCCTCGAACAGCTGCTTTTGTAAGCCTTGGTAGGGATGAAACCAAGGTAACACCAAAAAGTTTAAAACATGCATGGTTTTTGCTGTGGTTCTTCGAGACTCAATTTTATCCACTATTGCCCTGCAGCAATCAGCAATTCTTGCAGCACTGCTAAACTCCCCCAGTGAAACAAGCAACACTCCAAATGAAGCCCAAACTGGGGGACTATACTCACACAAGCCATGCTTGAGTGAGTTATCGAAATTCCTCAAAACTGCCAAGATCAGCCGGTCATCATTGGCAATGTAGCAGCACCTTGTTGTCTTGTCTAGTATGTGCATTTCTTGGAGTTTCAATGGGTCAGTCAAAATTGGAAGAGTCTCAATCTCGTTTACAGTTCGTTTGCTTAAGCTCATCAGCGATTTTCCAACTTGAGCTATGATAGATGTTTGTATGGAGATCCACCGCCTCGGAAATTCATAGCCCAGCTTTCTTAGCACTTCAAATCCAAGCTTGACACTCTCGTCATGCTTCTCTTGATTCAACAAGCTATCCTGCACAACATTGTATACTCGAAATTTATCGATCAATGGGCGGTCTGCTTGTTTCAGCACCTCATCGCAGTAGATCTGCATTGCTTCCACATTGGACAGAGCATACTCCACTTCTGCTCCCAGGGAGTACAGATGCAGTGTCAAATCGTAGTAGCCATCAGTCCACTTTAAGGCTGGTGGCAAAAGGTTGACGCCATGTTCCACATACTTTGATGCACTGGAGAAGGAGGAAGCATCAGCGGCATTTTGGGCAGCCTGTAGATTGAGGTTGGCTAGTGCCACTCTTTCACTTGTTTCATCAGGGGGCAATCCTTCATTCAAGAGACTCGCTGCCACAAACAAGAAGCGTTCTGCGAAAGATCCTTTGTGAAGCTCGTTCAGAACAATGTGGCCAATTCTGGTCTTCATTCCAGGTAACCTCAGCGGATTGACAGTGGCAAGACAGCACTCGTGCATCTTATCATGCACAAACTGATATGTAGACAAAGAAGGGTGGTGCTCCAGAAAGCCCTCTTCAATGGCTGACAGCAAGAGTGGGTTAAGTTTCCCTTGCATGTTCTCATGGCTTTCTATTGTATGTTCACCATGAAAGTAGATGGACCAAACAATACACAAAACTGATTCTGGAACCACGGAACCCATGCAAGCTACTAAAGCAAGTAGGTTGTTCACATCAAGGCTATTCGCTGCCATCTTGAACCTCAACAAGTCAAGCACATTGTTTGTTGCCATTGTTTGGGTTGCTATGTCCTCTGCATTCCAAGTCCACTTCATGAGACCAAAATTGAATTTCAACAGTTCTACCTCCTCCAGATGTCCGAGGAACTGTTGAAGGAAGAAAGCATTGCCTAGAGTTTTCCTGTGGCAAACCTGGGCCAATTTCTCCACATTTTCTGTGTTACACTCTGCAAGTAACTCCATTAAGAGCTCTTGCACCTGGTGAACAAGGAGATTCCCAACACAAATTTTTGTAATGCAGAAGGCATCAGTGTTCCCCAACTGAAGATTTCGGACCATTTGGCTCAGAATGTGAGCGTCAAACACCTCATCGGAACGGTAGCAACCAATTATCACAAGGCCCCCAATGCTGTCATCTGTTAGCAGGACTTCCAGCAAATACAAGGAGGCAAAGTCTGCCCACTGGCAATCATCCAGTGTGATGACAACAGCAGATGGGAATAGGGTACATAATTTCTGAAAGAATCGACGGAAAGCATAGACTGTCCGGTTCATCTGTTCCTGCATAGACTGGTTTGACATCTGATAAAGCTGAGGGGGCATATCAAAGATTTCGTCCAGTTCGGTGATGATACTGACTAGCAAAGATAGATCGGATCCGAGAGCTTCTTGCAGTCCTTGGTGGATAGTATCAAACCTGTCTTGGTTGCTTTCCTTCAGCAAGAGCAATTTCCTACAAAGATCTTGACATGCTCCCACAATCCCAGCATAAGGCTCCTTCTCTCGGAGCATCAAGTCAAATTTGGAAGATAGAAAAATGCATCTGTCATTTTTTTCTTCACCAACACTGGTAGCCAAGGCAGTTTTGCCAGTGCCGGACTCCCCCGAAATGAGAATGAGTTCTCTGCTTTGCTTTTCGGTGGCTCTCTCAACACCTTGCTTGAGCAGTGCTACCTCTTCGGATCTACCAATCAAACCGAGGGTGTGAAACCTGAGTTTGTTAATAGTCATGTCCCGTGTTGCCCTTCTGGTTTTGGCTGCATTATCGTTGGTAGGCAACAAAACGAACTCGTTCTTGTGTACAGAGGAGCTCCTTGCAAGGGAAGTCCTCAGGCTTTGGCTGCTGACCGAACTGCCATCATCAGCTCTCAACGTATCCATCTTTACTACACATAGACTCTATACCATTGCGCGGCGTTCGAGTTGATGTCCTCCAGATTGGGATCGAGGTGTGAGTTTCTCTGGCTTGGGTGTTTTGTTTTTAAAAAAAAGAGTGTTTGGAGTCCTGGCGTTCTCTGACCTGTGGTTGTGCAAGCTAGCCATCCGTAGCTGCAGTGTTTTATTCGATCAGCAACCTTTGTTCTTGTATTAAGCTTGCGAGACGGCACCTGCATTGAGTCAGAGCAGAGTTGCATGAGGAAAACCTGGCCCTCGCTGGCTTCCGTAAGATACGGTATGGCATAGTCTAGTCACCGTGATCGAGTGATTGAGTTGAGGAAGGTGGATATAATATTATTACGGTATGTACAGTGGGTGTCAAAGTCAATCACGAATTAGGGTCCCGTTTCCCACTAGCTCCGCAAGAGACAAGCAAGGGACGAAGAGCAAGCTACGATGACAAAAGTATCTTCCTTTCTACGGTACCACTCCATAATAATACATTGTTTGATTTATTGTTGGACTTCTACTCATCTAGCTGGCCACTAGCTATAAAGCAACGAGCTATTTATCTGGTAGTGCTTCTTCTTCTTCTGCGCAAAATAATGTCATCAAAGCTCTCGAATCCAGCTGCTGCCGCCGACAGTGGGGCCAAGGGGAAGGAGGAACATCCATCGTCCAAGTCGACCAAGAAAAACCATCCGCGTCGCCAAAGACGACAAGGAAGGCGGCGCCCATCTACTCCATCCCAACCCCAAAAGAGCAATCCGCCTGAGATTTCTTCCAATGTTGAGAGCGGGGACGCATCGATATCTTCCCGCAAACCATGTGCTGTGTGGAAACCTACCAGCATCTTCAACAGCAACAACAACGACGAGGGACTCCGTGCCCGGGATGCACAACTGCTTCGGTGGCTTCTCAACAAACTCACACCATCCAACTTTGACAAATTGGTGGCCATTTTTGTGTCCGAAACGGCCATGTTCTTCCAGACGGAGCCGTGGTTGTTGATGCGGGATGCCATTGAGACGATCATTACACGGGCGGCATTGGACCCTCGCTATTGCGCGGTTCATGCACGGCTTTGTAAGAGTCTTATTGGCGGCGATAATCCACAATTTCAGGACATGCTGGCTCAAATATGCCAGGAACAAGTCCAAACGAACACGCAGTCTGTGCTAGACAGTCATCAAACACCCCAAGTTGCCACGATGGCCAAGAAACGCTATGTGGGTAGCAAACAGTTTATTGGGGAACTGTTCAACCACCGTGTTCTGACACCCAAGCAAGTGACAACCTTTCTTCTCGATTTGATGGGTCAGACCCTACGGATTGATAGCGGTGTCCCTGCCAGTGAATGCGACGACTATTACACGAGGAACATGCCGGCTTTTAGTAGTACTGGTCTCGATGAACTAGCACTGGAAGGTCTCTGTGTATTGCTAGACACAGCAGGAAAGGCGTTGGAAGATGAAATCTTGACAGTCTCTGATATATCTACATCATCTGACATGGAAATTTCGGACGATCTCGAACGATGCTGGGACTTTCTCAAAGGTTTGCTGGTGACGACAGGGACCGGCGTCAGCACCAAAAGCACAACAACAATAAGAACCGGTCCGCCCCTATTGAGCTTTCGGATGAGACACATGGTGTTGGACCTGATAGAACTTCGACAATTGGCATGGCATCCTGTACGGTACGGAGCAAGACAGAGAAGGAGCTGTGTGGCAAAGGAACTTTTGACAGATGCGAGTGACAGTCAACTGCTAGTAGTAGCTGGGCATGCCAAGAAAGGCAGGAATAGGAAATCCAAGAAGAAACATGTGCACTTTGGCGGGTCAACAAACTGAAACTCTAGAGTACACACGAATAAGCAAATAAATTCGAATCAGTGTGAAGCTAGTGGTTCATGTAGATGCAATCCCTCCACATACAAACAAATCGCCTCGCATTGACAAACTTGCGTTATAAGCTCAATTGGCGGGAAGGCCACGGTGTTTCTAGCCAGGCTCTCTGCGTTTAACTCTCCCATGCCATTTGCCCAACTCATTCAGCCTTCAATGTTCGGCACGATTCTGTGAGTCTGCCAATGCAAAATACTGTAATGATACATAAATGCATCATCTCCTTTGGGAGTGTGATGCCCGTGAGGGTGCCCTTGGCTGCCTCTCTGTGAGATCAACCCTCACTTTGGCCTGGGGGGATTGCCAGTGTAGGAGTGCTTGCCCGTTATAAAGATTTATTTATTTATCGATGCAACAGCTCTATGCATATAAGCTACCGTATTCCTTATGCATCTCCAGCGTACCGTATGGGCAGCAACGGACAGCATGGTGGATGTTGTGCTGTAGGTACCAGCTACGTTGGCTGGGCAACTTAAATTTTCGAGTGCCAAAAGGAAGACGAGGTCTCGCATGTTGAAGGATTTGGTTCAGTCACGACGAACACTTGCGACTTCGAAAGATTTCCAACGAAAGATCTGTCAAAGTTGCTCGAGCAAAGATCCAAATCGCTGAAGCTCCAGCAAAGATCCCTCTCTTGCCCGAAGACCAGAAGATCTTCTCACAAAACTATGCAAATTTTGTTTTGTTGCCAATCCTTCTTCCTCTCTATACTGTTACTACTTTCTCAACGAAGCAGTTTTACAATGGCGTCTCCTCCTGAACTCGAAGTCATATATTTTGATGGTACGTGAGGATTGATCGTTGGGGGGCCGAAAATGATCGCATTGATCATGCTTCATCTCATCCGTTCCTCATGTCGCGGCATTGCTTTCATATTATTTTAAAACAGCCCCCGGCCGTGCCGAGCCAATTCGCATCATGCTCCATGCGGCGGGTCTGTCATTCACCGACACTCGCTTTCCTGGAAAGGATTGGCCGACCGTCAAGCCTACAACTCCTCTTGGATTCGTGCCTGTGTTGAAGGTCAACGGCAACGCCTATTGCCAATCCAAGGCATTGATGCGTTTTGCCGCCAAAAAGGCAGGCATGTACCCCACCGATGACTTGGAAGCCTTGGCGGCCGATGAGGCTATGGACGTCCTCGACGAGCTAATGGCAACTGCACCCAAGGTAAGTTGGAATCATGAATGACAGAAAACTACCAGGGTTTTGTTCCCTTCTTTTTTTCTTGTTGGGGCAACGAGTACATGGTTCCGTACTTACTTACTTACTTATGGGGCTCTTTGATTGGTTTCTTCCCAGAGCAAAGATCCAGCTGAACTTGAGAAACTACGAAAGGAATTCGAGGCTGGTGGCTTGACGAACAGTGCCAAGTTCTTGGAAGCACGAATCCAAGGAAATGGCGGATGCTACCTTGGCGGAAAATCCTGTACCATGGCCGACCTTGGCTTGCAACTCACAGTCAAGGGAATTCAGGCAGGATTTTGGGACCACATCAGCAAGGACTTTTTTGAAGCCTATCCTGGAATCATGTAAGTTGGTTTTATGGCGTTTCTGTTGGTCGAAGAAGCGAGCAAGACAGTGCCGTTGCATAGCTTGGGAACTCACATCTTATCAATCAAATCTTTGGAAATCCAAAAGTGCCACTGTCAAAGCTGTCGATGAAGACGAAAAGGTCAAGGCCTACTATGCATCCAAGGAGTAATTTGATTGGTCACAAGACAACGTTCTTCTTGTTAGGTTCCTGGACATGCAACAATCAGCTCATGAAATGAGAATGAATCGACGTGTTTCATGTACTCCGCACAACACGATGGCCATCCTAAGTTATTTGATAGCGCCATTTTGCCAACTACTGCGACTAGAAGTAGGCTGGAAGTAGCGGTGCGTGATGTATCTCATTAGTGTCGTGGCGGTAGCCAGCGGATACACCCCTACCGGTACTGGCTAGCTAGAGATTGGCTCTGAAACGTAGAGACACGAAAGGCAGTTTTAAGCTGGTTTTCTTGGATACCGGTAGCTACGTCTCGGCTTCTTGACACTTTTCGATGATTCCTACGTTGCTTCTTCGCTTGGCCCAGCGGGGGCATCGATCCTCCAGACAGTTGCAGTGGTATCGACTGGAGCTAGCTCGAGTCAGAGTCACTGTCTATCTGTCTCCTACTTGCCACCACTCTTGGCAGTGGTTTCGGTGCAGGAGCAGGGGCTCGCTTCTTCACGGGCGCCGAAGATTCCTCATCCGACGATTCTTCCTCTGAGGATGAATCTGCCATTTTCTTTCTGGCTGCTGGCTTTTGCGAAGCCCAAGACAACGCCATTGTCGGAATGGGCTTTGGTTTATCTCCCACCAAGTACTGGAACATTGGAGAGGTAACAATTGTCTCTCGGTCTAGATCATTTAGCATCTCCTCTGACAGATTGACGACTGTAGAAATGAAGTAGGCCCACACTCCATCACCGCATTCATCATCCAGCAAGAACTTCTTGAGTTCCTCGAACTCGGACTTTTTGGTAGTCGCATTCCTGACGACGTAATGAGAAGAGTACTTTGTTGCATTGATGATGGCTTCTTTGGTCATGGGAAAATTGGGGAGGGACTTGTATTGCTCCCACATTGAAAAGGATGGTCGTTCATGGCTCTTCATGATTTGCTTTTTTTTCATGTTGTCACACAGTAGGAGATGTTTTTCCATACCAAGATAATCAAACCAAGGGAACAGAACATCAAAATTTTCCTCTGTGAGCAGTGATGAGATGGGTTGTTCCAGTGTGATGTACTCGAGAGGGTCCAAGAATTTGTAGACCTCAAGCCAAACCTCGGGGTCACCATCAGGGAACTCGATTTTGCCTGTCTCTGATTCTTTCATGCTGCTGGACAGCATTGTATCAAAGAAACCACAAGTGCAAAGAATGGACTTGTAGTGGCAGAAACTCACGCCACCCACAACCACAATCACATCGGGATCATGCGACTCCAGTTTTCGTGGGGTTCTTGTGGCGACTTTCGCCTTCATTGAATCCTTGTCTACTTTCTCTTGGCCGTCCAATTTCTCTTTCCCATCTTTCGCTGTTCCCAACAAGGGGTTATCTTTGTCGTCGTTCGACGCCACCTCTTGTTCATTGCTTTTTCCTTCTGGGTCCATGGCCTCTCTGATCCTTTTGTTTTGTCGATGAAGACACTACACTGGGCTTTTGGAAACTGTTGTAGGAGCAATGTGGGGTTCACTTGTCTCAATTGAAGTCCTCGTGTTCTGATGACTGTTGGGTTTGTCACATGAAATCCACGTCTCAGAGCCACTTGATCGTCCAGTCAAGGACGCGCGGGAACACAAGAAAACAGGGAACACGTACCGTATGCATATAAACACAAGAAAACAGGGAACACGTACCGTATGCATATAAACAATTTTTGAATAGAATCAATTTGGCTGACCACTTGTCTACTGTGCTGCTACCGGGTGCCCTAAACTGATAACATGGGGGCAGAGAGATTTACCCCACCAGCCAGGGAAATATAATAAAATTCAACATATGAAGTTAAGGGACATGGTCGCCTCGTGATTGACCCACCTCCTCGTTGCTGCCATCATCAGCACTGCTACTAGCTCTGCTACAACCATTGTCTATTTTAACAGTGCCCGAATCCAAAACAATGTCAAACTCAAATGCAATTCCTATAATCTAAAGTATGGCTTCAGAAAACCGCTGCAAGTTATCTGTTTTTAACAATGATTCAGTAATTATTGGCAATAAAATAATTAAACTAGTAAAAGTAACAAAATATATAAATATATAAATAAATAGATTATAACAATACAACTAATTTATGTAATATTAAAATATTTTTCTGTTATATACACAAGTTTTTCTACAAACTAATATTATTCAGAAATATTAAAATACATCTAAAATAAAAAAGGATAAATGCTTGAATTTTGCTCCATTTTTAAATATTCTTAATTGAGAAACCCAAAAACAATTTAATGATCTATTAAAATCATTCATGTCGCCAGTGGGTATACCCCAAAGGGGACACCAATACCCACTGGCTAAGTTGTCTAATTAAATTAATGAAATACATCATTGTGAGTATTCTCTTAAACGTATGCAAAACGTCGTGCAAAATGTCGTGTAAAAATGTCTGTAAAAATGTCGCGTAAAATGTCGTGTAAAAATGTCGTGAAAATGCTGAAAAATGTCGTAAAAATGTCGTGAAAATGTCGTGCAAAAATGAATGTCGTGTAAAAAAGAATGTCGTGTCAAAATGTCGCGTCAAAATGTCGCGTCAAAATGTCGCGTCAAAATGTCGCGTTCAAAATGTCGCGTCAAAATGCATGCAAAAATGTCGTGCAAAAATGTCGTGCAAAAATGTCGTGCAAAAATGTCGTGCAAAAATGTCGTGCAAAAATGTCGTGCAAAATTTCGTGCAAAATTTCGTGCAAAATTTCGTGCAAAATTTCGCGTAATGTTGCTAATTAGCCACACAGCGTAACTTTATCACGAATTTAATTTTGATGTCATTTGGAATTGCAAAGTTATCATAAATTTCGCTTAATATAGTTGTATTCGTATGTCATGCAGCTCATTATCGCATAATACAGGTAGCTACATTCTTATGTATGAGAGCTAGATTCTCGCGTGTTTGAGCTAGATTCTCGCGTGTTTGAGCTAGATTCTCGCGCGTTTGAGTTGATTTCGGTGTTTAGTAGTTTCGCGTGTTTGAGTTGATTCTTGCTTGTTACAGTCGACTCTTATGTTTTTGAATACATACTCGCATATTTCAACTTTGTTATTAAGCAAAACTTCTATGTCAGCGAGATTTCTTTTTGGCACACACGTAAGAGAAATATATTCTCGTCGCGTATTTTTGCTTTATTGTCTTGTGAAATACATTGGTTGTCATATCACACTTGTGCAAGAGCAAGAGCTATATTCTTGCATATTTTAGATTGCTCGTATTATGTAATGCAAACTGACTTCAATGTCGCGTGATAGAATTACATTTTTCGTGTTGGAGCTAGACTTTTGTGTGTTAGAGCTGAATTTTTGCTTGTTTTCGCGCATTAGAGCTATGTCTTACATTTTCTTGTTGTTACAGCTACATTCTTCTTGCATGTTAGAATTATATTCTTGCGCATTTTAGATTGTTTTTATGCAAATTTCAGTCTCTTTCTAAATGTCACACACACGCGTTGCAGAGCTACTTTCTTCATATGTTGTGTATTAGATGCATGAAAAATACTTTTTCTCGCGTTTTAGTTGTGTCTATATCATGACAGAGCTACATTTTGGTTTTTAGAGTAGCTTCCTTGTGTAGTATTAGAGTGCCGCTCTCGCATGTCAGTTTTGACTAGTACATTCTGATAAGTATTTTAGCTTTGTTGTTGTATTCTAGTGAGTCTCTTTCTAGTACACACGTGAGAGAACTATTCTCGTGTGTTTTAGTAGCTTTATTATCATGTGAAATACATTATCTTTGTTATGGTGTTACATGAGTGAGAGAGCTAGACTTTCGCGCGTTTAGCTTTGGAAGTACTACATCATCGTGCAATTTGGCTTGGTGTCAAGGAGTGTAATAGAACTACATTTTCGCATGCTGTCAGAGTTTCTGAATCAGTCTGGTACGTTTTAAAAGAGAGTCTACTACATTTGGCGTTTGTGTGTTAGGACTACACTATCACGTGTTTTAGATTTGTTGTTGTAGCATATTAGAACTGTGTAAGATTTCTGTGCTGGTGAGACGCGTCACAGAACTATCCAATGTATGTTAGCTTTTTGTGTTGTCATATGAAATGCATTTATTGTCGTGTCATACGTGGAACTTTGTCTGTATTATGCCATGCAATTTAGCTGCCAAGCTATATTTTTGGGTGATAGAAGTATACATCATTGCGTTAGAGTTACAGTCAACGCTCGCTTATATTTATAATCTTGTATTTATTCGCTTCTATAATATTAAGAATACTCCAGTTCCACATTTTTAACTCTAACCCTATTCTAGTACTAGAGCACGTACAATTCTACAGGAATAGTTAGGGTTAGGGATAAAATCAATATTTATTCTCGCTGTTATATTTACTGAATTCCTGAATCCCCCCCAGTATATATATCTGAATGTTGACTGTACATTTTTCACGCAATAGAGCTACATTTTCGCGATTAGAACTATATTTTGTGGGTCAGAGCTGTGATCTGATGTGTTAGAGCTATGTTCTTATGTGTTAGAATTATCTATAAATTTTGTAATAGAGTCGCGTAATGTTGTCGTGCAATGTAGCTATATAAATATGTTTGGTAAAAACGTCAAAAACATCATATTTTTAATTAAAATGAATTCGTTTTTGCTTTTTTATTTTAGAAAAAATATTATTTAAAGTTCCCAGTACAACAGTAAAATAAGACTGCCAACAGTCAAACAAAAACAACGTTTTGCAATTGGACATTTGCAATACACGTTCACCCCCCAGCTTGAGCAGCTACAGATAGCTGGAGTAGGTATACATCTGCTTAACTCTCAATCGGTTTGGCACCAAGCCTTGCAGCTGCGACGTTCTAGCAGCACCTTTATTCCACTCTTTTTGAGGCTTCCAAACAGCAGTTAGATGCCCCATACAATTTTCTACAGTACCAGAAAGCACCTTATTGTTTTACGCGCACTACTCTACAACCAAGGCAGCTACTGACTTCCCGCTCATATAGATGTTGAGGAGGGCTACAAGCTTGATCCATCCCTGCACTGGTTGTATGCAAATTCCATATGAGCCTCTCACCTCATTGCCTTTCGTTATTTGTTAGTTTACTTTTTTTAGCTCCTGGTGAGTCGAATTTGTTATTTACATTGTTTTGCTTTTGTACTCTCACTGGGCCCCATATCCCAGCTCGAATGGCTTCTGGCCGGCCGGGGACGCTCGCGCCGCCGATATACCCAGTCAGCGTGGAAACTCGATACGATATCGATGGCGTGGAAAATGCCACACGGTGTTGTCAATGTCGAAAGCCCTTCCAGTGCCGAGCGCTCTCACTGGTGCCTCAGCCGTCGGTATGGTACCCGGTACGATGTACTACCGGTATCGGGACATGTAGCAGCTACGACGTATTAGAAGAGGCTCTTTTCTGGAAACAGAGCTTGTACAAGCCAACCAATCTCACGGAGCAATTAACAGTTGCTCCAACTGCACGAAGACTATCGACACCAGCACGTGATCACGTGATGCATGTTCCATGGATCCCCCAAAACCTCACGCCTTGGGCCATGGAAGCTTTGAAGCCAACGAAGTAGTAGAAATCTTTCAAAAGATCTGAAAATGTTGGGTCTATTCTGTCAGCGGTTCTTCCTGTTTCTCGGCGGATGCCAACGTCCATGTGTTTGGAAAAGGAGCAGATGAGACGAACCTATTATTTGCAGACTGGAGACCGTATCTTCACAGGAACCAGCTATCATCGTGTTTACGCATTCGCGCATCGCGACGAGACCTTCGTCGCCGACTTTCTTCGCGTCCGCACGGAAACAGGCAGTGCCTTGGAAGTTGCCGGAGATCATTTGGTATTTGTCAATGGCAAGTCTGTATACCAATCCGGGCTGATTCGATTCAATCAAGATTGGAGACACCCTCCAATGCACTCTAGTTTCCAAGGTTGCGAGTGTCACAAAGGCTGGGGTCTACCGTACGCCCCTCTAACCACAGACGGGACACTTTTTGTAGATAGAGTTTTGGCTTCCAACTGCGTCTGGTTCGAATCGGCTGGAAGCCATGCGCTCTTTGGGCACAACATTCATGGGTTTTCCCACCTGACAATTTCTCCCTTCCGACTCATTTGTTCAGCAGTTTATCGGGTCTTGCTCGCCCCTTTTACTTTGATGAGTGCAGCCGTCGGCATCATAATATTCTCTTTGAATGAGGTGACCGACCGTTTCAAGGCTTCCGAAGTGAAGACTGCCTGAGGTGTCCCTGTCCCATGTTGATTGATTCCAATCGATGCCAATGCGTACACACAAACCGCGAAATGAAACTCATTTGTAGTAGTCGTCTAACCCCCAAAAGCCATTTTGATAGTTGCCAGCACTGGTATCTGCCCTGTATCCGCTATGGCCGGCCGCAGTAACATCCACGTGTGTCCCACCAATCCTCTTGCAATTCGCAGTGCAGTGTAATGTTGATTGTCGTAAAGTCCAGCACCGGCCAGAGCTTCTGGCAAGCCCACCAGCAACAGACAGACAGACAAAGTATAGCAATTACAACTCAAACAATTTGATCCGAGAAATCTGGTACTGTCAAAGGCCCGGCATCCAGCAGGAGTGTGTTGGGCAGACGCTCCGCCAACAATGCCGAGAACCCGCAACGATACACAATGGCACCGGGACCCCCAAATTCTTCTTCGTACTTGGCAATTTGTTTCTGCACACCGCGGCTAAAGTGTTTGGCAGTTCCCGCGCCATAAAAATTGTCTCCCGGAGTTACAAAGCTGGTCACATCGGACTGTCGTGCCATTTCGAGTTCGTGCTGTTCCCTACTGGACAAGAAATCATCCAGATGACGTCCCACCAATGTCCCATCGACGATTGCCTTGACAATCTTCTTGACAAAATGATCTTCCAACGCATCGGCATAGGTTTCTCGAATGCGAAAATCAAGAATAGCTCTTATAATGCCGACGGGAGGCTGATCAAATGAAAAGGACAAGTCAGCAATACTACTGGATCCACTATCCATGAGGCGAGAAAGCCGGCCGCTATTCTTTTTGAGTTTCCAACCCGAATGAACCGACTGGGTCACCATGACCTGTTTTCGGACGCTGAGGCCCTGCACGAGCGTCATCCCAAGTTCCTTACACACATTTCCTATTTCCTCCTTGCGAGGATCCGTCAACACTCCAAATTCACCTCGTTGAATGAGTACTCCAGACTCGAGCAGGGATGTCTCGGCATCCACCGGAACGGGAGGACTTTTTAAAATCCAGTCGATTTCGCGTGGAATGCCTGTCAACTCGAACGATTTGGAAGACGACGAAACAAGGGCCAATGCGACATTAGCCTGCGACAAGAGTAGCAGTGGGAGTATGATCAGCAACATTGGGAGAGTATTTGAAATGACTTTGTGTGTACAAGTAAATGAGCTTGAGTGAGTCGAGCAAACAAAAAGTGCTTTGCCAGCTACCGGTACCGGTAGAGGGTGCCGATGTTGTTGTGAGTTGTGCTGCTATGGCTTCACTGAGCGACATTCATTCGTGCATACAATATCTTTCATTATTCCGACCCCTTGCTGTCCACCCATCGATCACAGCACCACGCCCAAACACAAAGCAACGTCAACAACAAGCATAGCGACGACTTCGACAACAGGAATGGCAGCAAAAAGAACAACACCAGGGATTCCAACGTGGTCCCCCACCGTAGTACTAACCTAGCCCGACGATGCTTAACTTCGCTGAGCAGACGGGAAGCGGTGCTGTCATCGTGGTATGGTCGTTCCTGACACTATGAGTTTCCAAAACATTTATTATTGATGCACAACTCTTTCAATCTTCTACAATAGGTGACCAAAGAGGCTTCTTTGCTGGAAAACCACACTGACGACACTGGATCTCCGTGAAACTGTCTATGAAGGCCTGGATGCCTGGACGGTTAAGTAAAAGTTGACTTTGGGGAAAACGGGGTTTTCCAAAGGAAAAGTGTTGAAGTTTCGAATTTCTAGATTTAACAGCACTGAAACTGTTGAAATTGGTTCAACAGTGTTGAATCTCCTTTAAACACTAATTCAACAGAGATTTAACACTTTTCAACAGGGATTCAACACTTATTCAACAACTTCTACACTTCCACTGACTATAGATTCAACAGTAATTCAACAGGGTTTCAACACGATTCAACACCTATTCAACAGTTTTTCAACAATTATGAACCACTTTTCAACACTTTTCAACACCAGTGAGAAGTAGACAATTTGTTTAAGAATAGGGGAACCTTCAAGTCAGTTTACCCAAAAATCCAACTTTTTCCACTTTTACTTAACCGTCCTGGTCCCTCTACTGCATGGTGTATGGGAACCATCGTTCGATACGTGATGTTCTTCGCGGCATCGCGGACGAGATCAAGACGCAGAAATGCTGGAGCGTTAGGTGCTCTGCACGTTTTAGAAGAACAGGGTCTGGACAGCTGTCTGGACACACTGTACTCCTAGCTAGTATGCTAGTATGTAATAGTAATCCAAAAGGCGATAGAACAGACATACATGTAGTGGACACGCACATGGATTGAAAGAGTGCGCCATGCATTCTTCCTTGTGGTGGAATGGATGCATGCGACCGCGAATGATCTCTGCAGCTTGGCGACTGGTCCCTCCACTCCGGTTGTGGAGCATGGTGTACTGCAATCTGCAATAGTCTCCTCCGTTTTCGACTGGTCCCTCCACCCTCCACTCCAATATCATGGAGTACTGCATAATGGTATGGGAGACGACCATCCTTTCGTTATTAATTCTTTAAGTGTGTAAATGGCCCATTTGGCGGATGCTTCAATCACGAGCCACCTCCACAGCTCATCCATATCACAAGTAAAAACCCTACCTACTCTGTACGAGTACTGGCTACTCCAGAGTACCGTCCAGCTAGGTACATAGATCTCTAGCTGGCTTCTACATGATGTTTTTAGGACTATAGCTAGAACCACTGGCAGCAGAACTGTGGGCTGTGGGGTGGAGGCTTGTCTCTGTCAAACCCAGTAAAATAGCACTCTCTTTGCATTTATTTGATAAATGCGTGATGAGCACTGGTAAGACTAGCATCCACTGATTTGATTCGATTCGGAAACTGAACTCAACACTCCTCACAATCTCACTTCGCTCGTCTTAATTTTAAAACGTTGGCAAGCAACCATGAAGTTTTCCTCAATCATTGCTGGATTTTTGATTCTCATGTCAGTGGCTCTCGCTTCTGTCATTCAAGAACAAGAACCCAACAACAGCGTTAACACTGCTCAGGTTTGTTGCCCTTTTTGTCATCAATCTAATTTACATGTCATTCCCCTCACCTTCACCTTCTACTTTGTACTTTGCAGCAAGTCCCCGTCGCTGCCTTCACTCTTGGGTACAATCCTATTATTGCAAACTCTGATACACTTCCTTGGGTAACCATTGAGGGTACTGGGGATGATACTTATGACTATTACTCGTTTGTGGTCCCCAATTCAGGAATGATTGCTTCCATCTTTGACATTGACGAAACCACACATCCATACCACTATGATGCATGGGTCACTCTGTATGACTCAAATGGAAACTACCTTGCACATGTTGATGATGTCCGTCCAATTGATCCTGGCTCAAACCACGTTCATGACTCCTACTTGACCTACACCTTCAATGCTCCTGGCGTATACGTCGTTGCTGTGGGTCGATATCGATGCTGTCGTGGAAATTACCCAGGCGACGAGGTTCCAATGGGTGCCACGTACAAGTTGCACATTTCCCTGGGATATACGGAAGCACAGCTTCGAGCTGCTTATGGTATGGGAGACCCACACTTCAAGGTACGACTCAGCAAGCCTCAGTCAGCCCAGTTGATGAATCTTTTGTTGGGACTGACCAAGCAAGTGTTCTCTCCTTCATTTGTAATTAGACATGGACGCATGAGTGGTATGACTTCCATGGAGAGTGTGACTTGGTCTTTATCAGCAGCCCTGAGTTTGATGAGGGGACCGGATTGGATATCCACATTAGGACAAAGGCACGCAACCAGTATTCTTACATTGAGTCTGCTGCTGTGCGGATTGGGGAGGACACTTTGGAGGTTGGTGAATATGGTGGGTACATGCTGAATGGAATCTCCAATGCTGACCTGGACATGTTTGACAAATACACCATCAAGCACGAGAAGAAGAGCTCAAAGCAGGATATGTTTGTGATTGAGCTTGGCAAGGGCAAACAGATTGTCCTCCAATCCTTCAAGGACCTTCTCAGCATCAAGACAGTTGGTGCCTCCGCTTTGGAGTATGAAAATAGCAAGGGTCTTTTGGGAGACTTCAAGACTGGCAAGTGGCTTGCCCGAAATGGAACTGCCCTTACAGATGCTGATGCCTTTGGAAATGAATGGCAGGTGCTGGAAAGCGAGCCCAAGCTCTTCCAGGTCAACAGGAATCCACAGCACCCGGTCACCTGCAATATGCCGAGTTTGAAACAGGTGGGCCGTCATCGTCTTGGTGAATCCATTGCCCAGGCGGCTGCGGAGAAGGTCTGCGAACACTGGGGAGACCAAAAGGATCATTGTGTCTATGATGTCATGGCTGCAGGAGATTTGGAACTTGCTGAGGCTGGAGCTTTCTAGGCAGTGATCAGTAGCGAAAGTTAGGCAGAGGTTTCTTTGGTATGGTCACCTTTATCGATGTGTCCAGTCCAAGCTGAGATGGCTACCAGGCTGTATCAGACTCATTCTTGTTCGTCGGTACATATGGGAATGGTTTATCCATCTTGTAAGGATACGGTCCCCTCTTCAAGAAAAGCACCACAGCATCCATGCAAGTTGTTTGACCGTTAAGATTTATGGTGAATAAATGAAGTGTGTTTTAGTAATTTCGTCTCCTGGAGACGATTTGCTTTAGGGGTAATGGTACCGATGGGGGCAGAGGTTTGAATTATACCCGGCGCGCATTACTTAGAAGGCCCTGTAGAAGTCTACGTATTCGACTAGTTTTAAAATGTGAAGAACGCAAGGCGACTTTCATGTGCATGTACATGCGTTGACTGTATCCCGTCAATACAATA